ATTGTAAGCCATTCTGAGACTCTGAGTGAAGGGTGAGGTATAAATCCAATCTCCTCCTCCTTTTCCTCTTCTTCTTTGTTTTAACGTTGTTTGTATAAACCTAAGTGTTGTTCATTGGACAACTGAAGTCATGTGAAAAATCCCACAAGCATTTAATCAATAAGCATTCTGTAGTTCAATAAATAATGAGGTATTCTAGCTGCAAAGGCGGAAAACTCTAAGCGAATTGAAGAGGCAACTAATGAATACTCGTGTTCGTATTTTGGAGGTTACCTTGATGTCATATTATAGTGATGTTTTATTGTAAGCTGTGTTGAGCCATATTAGGGAAGGGGAGTACATTTTATAAATAAATTGGAAAAAATAAAATGGGACATTCATTTCCAGCTAGCACAATGAAGACCATGATTAATTTTTTCACTTGTCACTACTTTCATGTATGTCTTTTACTTTATCCTGAGTAACAGTGAATGGAGTAGTTCAGCTTTCAGCTCACTTAAGTTGGGAACAAGTTTGAATCCAGTAGCACCTTTAAGACCAGCGAAGTTTTATTCAAGGTGCAATCTTTTGTGTGCATGCACACTTTTTCAGATACAATGAAATGGAAATTACCAGTCCATACATGTAGGTTGAGGCTGAGCAGTAAATTAGCATACAGCATAATGAAGATTCAAGGACCAAACAGAAATAACAAGCTTAGTGTATATGGTTACCATTTGTTTGGGTTTAATTCCAGGGGGGAACATAGTGAAGGAAATAAAATGTCAAAATTTGAGATTGATGGGCAGGTGTACCCTTAAATGTGGAATGATGAGAATAATTAACTGAGACCCTCGTCTCAGACATGTAGGTGACCTTACAGCATCTTCTTTGAGGTGGTGTGATTGACTGTGTAGACCGGACCAGAGTTAAGTTGGGAAGTATGTGATGTAACCTGATGAAACGCGAGTTTGGTGGATAAGTGATGTTTGGGTTTAATTCCAGGGGGGAACATAGTGAAGGAAATAAAATGTCAAAATTTGAGATTGATGGGCAGGTGTACCCTTAAATGTGGAATGATGAGAGTAATTAACTGAGACCCTCGTCTCAGACATGTAGGTGACCTTACAGCATCTTCTTTGAGGTGGTGTGATTGACTGTGTAGACAAGACCAGAGTTAAGTTGGGAAGTGTGTGATGTAACCTGATTCCTCTTCCTTATTGCACCCCCTCAGTCCTCTGATGGATTTTATTTACCAGGGTCCCCCAACCTTCAGCAGAGGATTTTCAGAAAGTCACAGGTATGCTAGGGGAAGGGGATGGCAGCAGATATTTGCCTCTGAAAATGGAATGTTTGTAGGATCTAAACCTGTTATAGATAACTCAATTATATATAAGGGAGAGATAGCTCATGTTTACATATTAGCCGCACAACCCAAACTGCATACAATGCTGATGTATTTATACTTTTCTGAACATGTTGCCTTCCCCTGCTATGCACTCCTTGATATTTTTTAATTAAAATACCACTATTTTGTAAGTGGATTCAAGATACCCCATGATAGTGGACCTGCTGTAGCATCATGGAGAAAACAAAATATCACAAAGTGCCTTCTGAACAAAGCCACAAGCAGATTGCAGACTGTATCCATAAATTCTCTAAATCTGAAGGGCAGAATATCACAGAGAGTAAGCAATCATCAGGGTCCTCTGAAGTTCAGAAACAGCCCAGGAGATAATGTCATTGGGTAGGATGTTGTCAGAGGATAATGGTCTCCTGCTGCTAGATTAAAGCCTGGAAAGGCTGAGCTCTCCTAGCAAAAACACACACAACAAGAACCAAGCTATTTATGCCATTTTCAAAGTAGGAGGCATTTATCTTGTAACAACACTCTCTGCCATTCATTGGTTTCTTGTTGTTGTGGCAGCATAGAAGAGGAAGATGTCATTCTGCAGAATGTGCAGTGATTCTCTCTCTCCTGGTCCGTTTATGTTACATGCTTACTGGACTTTGACTGTAGGACTGCAATCCTAAAGAAAGTTGCATAAACTAACCCCCATTTAAATGAATGAGGCTTTCTTTAGTGTAAACGCGTTTAGGGTTGCAGTTACCAGTCTTGTGATATACATGCTTTATGCAATTTGTTATGCATTATCAAATGCTTAGAACCTATTATAGAATAGAGGGCAAATAATGGTAATTTAATATGAAGTATTGCATTTCTTGATTTGTTATGCCACCTTTCTTCCAAGGAATTCATGGTGCTTTTCAATATAGGGCTGAGTCCTGGAATATCGAAGGAAAAGCATATGAACTTTCAAGAGTCAACGTTTCCTTCACTACTATTTGATTAAGGAAGTTTTGACTCTTGAAGGGTCTTATCCCAAAAAGTCTTGTTGGTCTCTAAGGTACTACAGGACTTGAATTTAACTGTTCTACTGCAGACCAACACAGCCTCTCTCTGAAACCATCTGAATACACACCATATGACTTAATAATTGTAATCTACTGCCTTCTCACACATTGTGAAGTAAGGAGAAGGGTGGTTTCCACGTGGTGACAGCCTTCTGTAAGAGAGTGCGCACACCAAAAAAAATTGGGTTTTTTTTTAGATTAGAGTATATTGGGCCCAAATGCCAATACCAGCATGGTATTTGGATTTGGGATATTTTTGGGAATCCTGATTTCCCCCCCCTCCATTATACCCTATGGGGACCATTATAGTCAATGGGGAATCTATCTGGTGGTATCTGGGGGTCTGGGGGCTGTTTTTTGAGGTAGAGACACCAAATTTGCAGAATATCTGCTGGTGCCTCTCCTTAGAAGAACCTCAACATTTCAAAAAGATTGGACTAAGGGGTCCAATTCTAGGGTCCCCCAAAGAAGGTCCTCCCATCCTCTATTGTTTCCACTGGAGGGGGGAATAGCAAAAAGAACAAGGGTAATTGAAGCCCTGAATAACAGAATCAAAGTCCAAGAGAATCCCTGCAATCCCTGCAATAGAAACTGAAGGAATGACATTTTAGCAAGTCCAGCAGAACCACTGCAGTGTACAGTTTGAAACTGACAAGAGCAGTTGGGAAGCCCATAGAAGCCTCAAGATACAGAAGCAAAAAAGAAAAGAAAAAACATTGCAGGATCCTGATCTTCTTAGAAAATCCAGTATATATCTGGGATATTTTCAGGATTTTTTTTCAGTTTTCCAAAAAATCCTGAACATCTTTGGGATGCCAAAATATACCTAAAATGCTAATAAGGTATTTTTGGAGTATATTTTCAGCTTGGGTATATCTGAATGCATAACCCTAGTCTTGTGCTGTTTCCCTGTTGCTGGTACAGCTAACGATAAACCGGGTTTCACTTCAGTTTCCATGCTGGGGAACTACCCAACAGTGACCACTTGGACCATCAGGATTTTGTGATTTTGCTTTAAAATTTCACTAAACTATTGTTTTATCAATGTAACTATACTAGTAGGCATAACATTCTCTCTTGAGGGTCTTGTTGCTATTCTTGTTGCTTTTCTTCTTAAGGTATGTAAATAAATGTAAAAGTATTATCAACACATGAAAGAGAAAATTTGGGATCAGTTAATAATGGCAAAAATTACAGACTCCCTGATGAGAGCGAATAACAGCAACGCGCCAACCTACACCAAATTTGTTAGGACTTAGGCCCCTGTGTTAGACTACATGGTAACAAAGGATATTCTTCCTGATAAGCAGATCTATCATAAATGGTTATACTTATAGGATATAGCAGGTAATCTATACTGGTCAGACTCATGGTAACTTACTAGTGCTGTATGGCAAGAATAGATGTTAAGGGTGTATGGAATTATCCTTATTAATTTTCTCTCTTGAGGGTCTTGTTGCTATTCTTTTTGCTGTTCTTCTTAAGGTATGTAAAAATAAATGTAAAAGTATTGTCAACACATGAAAGTCAACTTTTAGAAGCAAAAGGATTGATACTATTTGCACTGATTCCTAGTATATGTTGTAACTTAAGGGTTTACAGCAATGCTTGCTTAGTGGCTTCAGTAAGACCCAATACTAGGCAGTAGCAGAAAAAACCAAACTGTTAAACAGTTTATGATTGGTTATACTTCAAAATCATGATTTGAATGGTCCTGGAAACCATAGCTGTGGTTAACTAACTGCATGGTATCTGAACGACATGGTATCCATGAATGCAGGGACTGCAGGTTTTTCCTGTATTCCCTTACTAGGGTTGCCAACTCTGTCTTGGGAAATTCCAGGAGATTTGGATGTGGTGTCTGGAGACGACAGACTTGTGGAGGACAGGGAGCTTAGCAAGGACGTGATGCCATAGAGTCCACCCTCTGAAGCTGCTATTTCCTCCAAGGCAACTGATCTCTGCAGTCTGGAATAAATTATATTTCTGGGAGAATTCCAGGTGCCACCTGGAGGTTGGCAGCCATATCCCTTATCCCAGCAGAGCTTTCTGCTCCCTCCCTCCAACAAGCTGTGCTGCTGAAATGGCAGAAAGGGCAATTTCATCCCTTCTTCCTCCCTACTGCAATCTCCCAGATCACATGGCTATCAGTCTATGTGGCTCTATGACCTTCAGGAATAAAATTTCCCAGGACTAGAAAGGGGAGTGGAATGTGGGAAACATCCATAGCTGTCAGTGCCTTCTTCTGACACATTGATAGATATGGCCTAATAGTTGTAGCTCTTGCTACAATCCACTTCACTTAGAGAAGACAGAAAGCAAAAGAAGTCATGCCAATCTAAGCCATGGTTTCTCAGGTTGTTTGGAAGTTCAAATAGTTTTGCTGAACATCCAAACTGAGCCAGCATGCAACCAGTGAATTGGTCACTAGCATAGGTACTGTTGAGATATAATTCCATGTGGGCTCAAAGATTAAGGGGAATGACTGCCTCCCTAAAAGGTACCACTGTCATGGCAATCGGTTGTTGTTGTTTCCCCCACCCCAAGCTGTGCTTTTTATATTCTTCTCCAAATCAACGTTTCTTATGGTTTTGTTGCATTTACAGTGCAAGCTGGAGTTTCATGCCTGTACGTCTGGCAAAAACATTGCAGTTCTCTGTGAAGGGTCTTGCCCATGCCTTCCAGGACAAGAAAGTCCCAAGCACAAGGCTGAGAAAACTGGTGAGTTACTGTTTTGAATTAAATATTAAATGTCTTCCTCATGAATATATTCATCATGCATGTTTACTTAGAACCACTTTCTACTAAGTTCAATGGAGTTTACTTCCAAGTAAATAACCTAAAATGGTTATCTCTGTCGTGGCAATTAGATTAAACAAGTGGGGACCCACAACAAAATGTTGTATATTATTAATGTCTTTTTCATGGTATAGTTGGTTAATGTTTAAATGGCTTTCTTGCAGTAACCAATTTATTAGTTTTTTGGATTTCTCATTTTGTCAGGGTGCCCTCTGTTGTTAGGTACTTTTGGTATTGTATTGTTCTGTATGGTACTGATGAGGGATTGTTGTTTCTGACAAAAAAGGCAGAGATTCTTTTAATTGTTCTGAGCCGTTCCCTCTTAAGGGAGAAGGTAGCTCTGTGACAACCTTCTGTGAAGGGAAGAGAGTGACAGTTGAAGCCCACTTTTCCCTTTTGTTTCTCCTTTTTCTTTTTCTTTATTGAACACTGGAAAGAGAGCCATCTAGCCTTGCTCAGCTCCCTTGTCCATAGTTAGTCATTTTGTTTATGTGAGGTGAGATTGCCTTACTGGGTCATGCAGGTCTTGAGGTGCTACAGGTGTCCTGTACCACTTTCCTTCTGAGTGCCCTTGCCAAAAAGAGCTGTTAAAATGGCTGTTGGTTTATCAGTGGATCAGCCGGAGGTACCTTTGCTTGTTCAGTCTCTTGCCTTGCCGTGGAGAATTGTGTGGTTGCAGGGCTCCAGTCTTCTTCAGCCTGAAATCAGTCTGCATTCACCCACAGCACCACAGCTGTCTTTGGCAGTTTGTCTATCAGAGTTGCTAAGGAATGTTTTAAAAGGTGGTATGTACGAACTGACACTTGTTGGAGGAAATCCCACCTCCTCTCCAGCTGCCCCCTACCTCTCAGTCACTGTGCCCACCAATCCATAAATGATGCCTCAGCTGTCCTTTTATAACTTCCCTCTGGCTTCTAGTCAGTCAGAAGAGAGAAGCAGTGGGAAGAAGCAGTGCCCAAGCTGAGGGTAAAGAAGCAGTTAGAAACTGGAGATAATAGTTTTAAAGGACAGCGAAGCCTGTAGCTACAGCAGTTGGGGGTGAGAACAATCCTTCTCACCTGCTTGCAAGACTTTGCAGTTGCAGGCTCAGATGTCATTTTAAAACTTCCTCCTGCTATTTTGCCATTCATACTCCAGGAAAAACAGCATTGGAGATGGGTGAGTGGCGGCAAGAAATCCTCCCCGATCCCAGCTCCAATTCTGCTGTTGCTTCCTCCCCTCTTCCCCCACCCATTATCTCTCTCTCTGTGTGTGTGACTCTCAGCCAATCAGTCTTTCTCAAGCTGGTGGAGGGGAAGAAGCAGTTAGAAGCCTCCCCCCCTGAAAGTTTTAAGAGGACAGTGGAGCCTGCAGCAAAAGAGGTAGGGGTGAGAAGCTCAAATGTCCTTTTAAAATGTCCTTCTGCTATTTAGCCATTCATATTGCAGGAGGAATCCTCCCCATTCCCAGCTCCAGTTCTGCTTTTGTTTCCTCCCCTCTTCCCCCACTCATTATCTCTCTGTGTCTCTCTCTCTTTTGGGATTTTACTGCAGACTCATGGAGTCCCCTGGTTTTAGAAAAATCTGTTAGGGGAGAGTGTGCCTTCTGTTTGCAGAAATAAGTATCCACATACAGAGGGGGATGTTGAGAATGAGATATATAGATACTCTCTCCCCCCAGAGTCCCCTCACCATAAAATCAATGCCCAGGCCAAACCCTTGGACCTAGGAACACGAAACTCGGGGAGAGCACTCCTACCATGGCGTAGATGCTCACTAAGAAGGGATTTTTAGAAATTCAACCCCTAAGGGGGTCAAAAGGAATAAAGTGTGCTCCCCTCATTGCTTCCTGTGTGGCTGCCAGGCTGCTGCCTCCTTGCACTCCCCACTCTCTGATTGGTCAGCTGCAGAGCTCAGTGTTCTGAGGTAAAAAAAAACAGTTACAGGAGACTGCAGAGAGCTAATGACAGTTGAGAAAATCAGGAATGGCCAACAACCACGTGTGAGTTGCAGCAGTGCTGCTGGCCCAGGCTTCCTGATGGCTTCAAACATGCTCCCCCTACCTCCTACATCTGACAGGCGGCTGTCTGTCAGGTGCAGCAGTAGGTGCAGGGTGCTTAAAGCCATCAGGGAGCCTGCCCCAGCACTAACACCATAGTGATCCTGCCAGCCCAGCCTCCACAGTGGCTTCTAATACTCCTTCCCCCTCCTACACTGGACAGGCAGCTGCCTGTTAGGTGTAGGAGAGGGTGTGGGATGCTTACAGCCATCAGGGAGGTTTGCTCAGCAGGATTGCCTTTGCGCTGCTGCTGGCCCAGCCTCCCCTATGCCTTTAAACACAACCACCACCACCCTTACACCACACAGGCAGGTGTTTGTCAGGTGTAGGAGTAGGGCCAGGGTACTTTAATCCATCAGGGATGCCACCCCAGCAGGATTATTTTAGCGATGCTGCTGGCCTAGACTCACTAAAGGCTTTAGCCACACTCCCACCCAATATGGAAATATACCCCAAATTTATAGAAAAGTGGTTTCCTTGATAAGGTTATTTAACTTCTCACAATGTGGGTTCTAGAAAATTGGTTCATATGAACTTGCTTAATATCTGCTTGCTTGGATGGTGTTTTGAATATGTTGTTATGTCCCAGTTCTAAAATGTAACATAAATAAGAAACATTTTTGTTAAAAAAAGGAGGTAAGCCCTCCCTCCCAAATTCAGTGCCCAGGCCAAAACCCCTGCACCAAGAAACCCAAAATAAGGGGAGCACATTCCTACCATGATGTCAACCCCCCCCATGAAGAGATTTCTGAGAAACATGACCCCTAAGGGGGTAAAAAAGGGGGGAAATGTGTTCCCCCAATTGTTTTTCATGTGCCTGGAAGGCTGCTGCCTCCTTGCGCCCCCCCCCCATTGGTCAACTGTGTAGCTCAGAGTTCTGAACCTGCCTGCTTGCCTACCTGCCTGCTTGCACCCTCCTCCCTCTGATTGCTCAGCTGTGGATCTAAACACAGTTAGAAGAGATTGCAGACAGCTGAGGACACTTACAGAAATCAGCTATTCAAGACTCCTGAATAGACATTTCTCAAAAAAGCCAGCACGGTAATTGAGTTAATGAATGTTCATAAGGAGATAGTAAAGGACCTTTCTAGGAGCCATTTCAATGTGTGGCTCTCTCATGAACCTGAAGAAATGCCCACCACATCACCACTCCCTCACACCAACTCCCCCTCACACCTCTCACTGTCCCCAAGAAAGCTCCTGGCAAACGTCAAGCAAGATACACCAATGCTACAAGGAGGCGGCAATTTAGGAATGCAGCAAAGACGTTTGCACATAGTACTTCTGCGGTGTACTGAGCTGCACAAGCCAAGTACCAGCAAGATCACCCGGAGGTGCTCAGAACAACACAGTCTCCATATGAGCAAAAAATCCAGGAACACAAGTAGAGAGGCCATCACTTTCATGGAAGGTAGCAGGAGTTGACTTAACAGATGACTGCTTCTTAAATGGGCAATTCTATGTTGCCTGCTCCAGAGTGAGCTCACCAAGCAGCCTGGTGATCCTAGCACCTGAGGGCAGAACCACCAATGTGGTCTACAGAGAGGTCCTTCAGTGGGGGGGGTATGTATGTCTCGCTTCATTTTTTACACTACAATCTTCTCCATTAGAATTCCTACAACAAATGTTACATTTCAAACTTCACATCATCAGTATTATAACTGAATTTATGGAACTCAAATACTGTAGTGAAGCACGGGTATCAGGCTAGTGATGTATAAAAAAGTTTACAAATTTTCTATCCAAGCATTCTGAAATCATAAAGTTCTTCCCAGATTGGTGATTCTCCGATACAGAAGGTCACTGGAGCCTTCTAGTTAAATTAAAATATTACTGCAAGTTCGTCTGAAGGATAGGGTTGCGAACGCCTGCTGGGAAATTCCTGGGAATCGGGGGGGGGGGGGGGGGGGGGGGGATTTTGGGGAGGGATTTCACCTAGAATCTATGGTATAGAGTCTGCCCTCTGAAGCTGCCATTTCCACCAGGGGAACTGATCCCTGTAGCCTGGAGATCAGTTGTAATTCCAGGAGAAATCCAGGCATCTCCTGGAGTTTGTAAACTTTAGGTGGTGCAGCACAAGTAGGCAGTAAGTGTGTGTATCAGTATGTGAGGTTGGAGTTAGATTATAGGTGTAAAAATGTAGAACTTTCTACTGAAAGGACTGTCTAGTTTACTATATTACAGTATTTGAGAACTGCTTTTCTAGATACACTGTGCGTTTGTGCAGAGAAGCCGTCTCCCCACTTGAAGGGGTGAGAAGTCCTAGGAGTCGAGGTGGCAAATGAAGGACTGCTGGCTTGGCCATCAGTTGTGTGGCAGCTGCAGTCTTCCTCAGCTCAGGTTAGGGCTGCCAAGGTTGGAGGAGGAGCTGGATTTCAGGAATCCTGGTCATTTGGAGGGTCCATGTAATATGTCATATGATTTGTTTTCGTATCATGTTTTGGTCGGGTCTATGTAGTGTAAGTAGGGGAATGAATTTTTGTCTGAGGACCTTTTGATGGACTACCCACTTGTTCATTGGAATAGCAACAGGATCAGATAGATGACCCTTTGAGCTTGCTGTTGCTGCTGCCTCTATTGGGCTGAGATCCTAGCTCAAAACACCAAAGAGAGGCAAATCAGCAGGGACTTATTCAGAGGCTATTTCTCCTACATTCCAGAATGACTTTTGGAAGGACCAGAGAGTTGTAGAGGAATGAGAAGAAATTTTTAGAGGTCATGGAGCACTTATAGAGTTTGGTATGCAGGGTCTAAGATGTCACCCAATAGTGGGAACTTCAGAAAGAAGAGTACCACTGCAATCCTAAGAACACTTTCCTGGAAGAAAACCCCACTGAGTAGTCCTGAGTAGACCTTTTAATGTCCACATTAAATAAGGGGAGTGG